TTGCTTTACGTCAACAGGTCAAGGTGCTTGACGCAATGAAACTGAAGGAGCTATGGCCACATACATAACCTCCCATCCGTGATCACTACAGTACTAACATTATCTACTCCGAGTAATGTATATAACGTTAGGGATATAGTTAGGCTACAGTACACGTAGTCGTCGCTCTGTCCAATGATTCAAAGCTATGCCATACCTACAATTCTTGATCTGGTCTAACCTGAGCACTGTACGTGGAAGGCAAGACGACAACACGATGTATAGTACTCCCATTTCACAGCCTAATACGGTATGCATCGTGATGAACTGGTTGTTGTACGGCGTAAGTTGGCCTGGTGCTGCAACTCGATTAGTTAGCAGCTGAAATAAAGTAAGGGTTGTTTTATTCTGCTGAAATGCAGAACTTATGTTTAGGGTTGTTTTATCTTCAATCGGGCTTATATTATTTTAAACGTCTGGTTGTTTAACGCAGTTAAACAACGGGCAAACTGCATGAAAAGCACAATACGTGGGTGCATGTTTAAAAGAGGGGTTTTAGTCCCAGAATAGCCAAAAGTTGTGAAAAGCACAATAACTTCTGTACAGGTTACTATAACTACTAGTACAGTGTACTCTGTACGTTGTTGTACTTCGTAGTGTTAGAATACGATATGAATGCGAAGAAATATGAGTGAGATATCAAAGGCGACAGACGACAGGTGATCTTTGAAAGGTGCAAGAGTCTTCGAGAAAACCTGTGCTATTAATAAGGGTCTGGTTGAAGTAAAGAATCACCCACTTTTTCAGCACTCACTTTTCCTCCTTAACTATGTGGGCACTCACTTATATAAAAAGTTTATGAAATACCAACTTTTTGAAAAAGTGGTGGTTTGACTTGAATTTGAGTGGGTATAAATTATCAACAAGTTATTAATAATGAGGTGAAAAGTTGGCCCATATTATGATTCCACATGACAATAATGGGAACTAACTTTTAGCGTGTTTACGCTTTATTAATTTTGTTGTGCCGTGTGCCCGCGTGGATCTTCCACTGCCTCTTCTTTTCACTCTCCAACACTAGTTTATGCGCATGGAGCGCGGCGATTGTCGCCGTGAGATCCTTTGGCAGCAAATGGACGTCGTCCCAATCAGTCCACACTGGCCGCTCCATCGGCTGGAAGTCGGCGGCGATGCGCTTGAACACTTTGTCCTTCATGCGATGCACGAACTGGTCGCGGCCCACTTGCCGGTTGCGCAGACCCTCCAGCACGGCCTTGAGCACCTTGAGGTCGTCAACGTCATGCGACTGAACGAGGGCGTCTGCCAACGTTTTCGTGCGCGCTTCGAGTTTGCGCCAGCTGGCTTCGAGGGCCAACATGGGCTGCTGCCAGTCGACATGGAGGTCGTTGTGCTTGTCGCCTTGGATCCAATATTGGCGCAGCCAGTCCATTTCTAACGTCGTTACCGTCTAATTTCCCAAGAATAGAGTTCAGTTTTCCATCAAATGTCCATATTATAAACGCATACTAGTTACTGTACATACAACAAACACATCATGCACTGTATGTATGTATATATATATACTACACTATACAGTAGTGAGATTGCACTACTACACTGTAACTGCAAGTTACGTTGCAAATTGCAGATACATGTATTTATTTTCCTTGCAACACTATTCAAAACAAATAAAAATATGACAAATATATTTTTGGTGCCACAAAATTTGTCAGACAACACCTTGTTTTCGCAACTGTTGTCCGAGAAAAAAATTATAATATACCTTCTTTTCAAAGAACGTCGTTTGTGGCTTTGGCTACCACATCTGACAGAAATATATGGGCATGATACTTTGACTGTTTTCTGACAGAAAAATAATCAAGTGCAAGCAACATTCCAATTTCTACGAGATTCTCATATGTTTTCACACCCGACGAGGTCTCACCAAATAATATTACTTTTCAAATCTTATATAGCTCCCATTTAGGAAGGGAACATGCTCTGTCCGAATACGCGATATATTTGTCCCATAAACCTATCATCCAGATTTCTCGACCTTACAACGACCTGTAAAACCCCAAAACACGAAAAGAATCAAATATATTATTTCTTCACCGTTGAATGAATCGACATAACCAAAGGAACAGAAGAATCATCGGCAGAAGGATTTAGCCAATCAGATTGCAGGAAACAAGCACCAACTTCATAATTAGTGTGTGATTTTTATTAGTGTGATCAACTTTCGAATTAGCGTGTGATGTTTATTCGTGTGATACCAGTCACCACAAGACGACACGTGTTTACATACAAAAGGCAGTACAAAGAATCGATCGATAGATTTGGCAAAGAATCCGCACAAAAGTTAGCCAAATTTTGGGTAAAAGAAAGGCATTCTTACCGTTTGCTCGTGCCGAACGTCGTCGGCGTGGCCGCGACGGCACTTGTCCTGCGGATCCTTCGCGCTACTCTTCAACGCGGCGGTGACTTTGGCCTGAATGTACTGCAACGTGTCTTCGGCCGTCACAGCCACCCGATGCGTGCTGCTCACTCGGACAGCAGTGCCAGAGAGGACCATGTGCTGGTGGTGATGGTTGAAGTCTCCGTTGAGGTAATACACATCGCCATCTCCCGTGGGCACCACCAACGGCGGGGTCGTCTTGGCGCCAGGTACGTCTGGGGACAGCCTCATAGCGATGCGCCAGTCGCACGGCCCTTTCTTGCTCTTCTTGGTGGGGAGCAACGTGTGGTACACTCCGATGGACGAAAAGTCCTCCAGCGACGAGTCGGCGTGCCAACTCACGCTCACTTTGCCCATATCGTACGTCAGATCGTCCTTGAGCCCCAACACCGGATTGTCCGGCTCCATGTAGTTGATCAACGTCAAGTTGTACTCGCAGGATGGCGGCGCCGGCGACGCGGATGCTTTGGTGCGGGCCACGATGGCCTGGTTCAACGCGTACAGGTTGCGGAACACGGCGGCGCTCGACGGAACGTCCCACGCATGCGCAAAGATGCGGAGGCCCAAGTACTTGTACGTGATGCCTAGATTCATATGAGGCGACATTGTTGCTTAACGTTTTTTAACGTTGATGGTTGAGTTAGTACCAAAATTGCCCACAAGGGTGCGCCGCACAAACGTCCTTGACAAGTGCTTGCCGCCGGCCATGACGACGTCGTACTGAAAGTACCCTTTGTCACGAAGGTGCTCGAACGCGGCACGCATGCCCGCGTGGAACTCGCGAGGCTGCGCGGCCGCAGGCTCGTGCACAAACCCAACGTACGACCGGGTGAGGATGTCATGGAAGTCGGGATGTGACGGCGTGAGGAATTTCTCAGGACCCGTGTAGTTGGAGGGTACGGGGAGGGGTTTGGCCTTCTCGATCTGTTGTTTCTTGGCTGGAGGCGCGGCACTACTGCCCGATGGCTCACTCGGTCGCTTGTGGGATGTAGTAGGCTGTGACACAGGCTTCAACGATGCCACATTGGGCTTCTTAGCGCTCTTGCGCTCCAGGGCCTTGGCCTTCTTCTTCTGTCGCTCAAGCTTCTTCCGTTCCTTCGGGTCCATGGCGATAAGTCGTGGCGCGAATGGTCAAGTGGTGGACAGGAATGTGAATCGCGCATTTTTATTGCACAGGGTGCCATGCGATAAGAAAAAATTGCAAAAATTATCCTTTTTTTCAGTCAATTTTCACACTTTTTTACGTCCTTTTTAGCCGAAACGTGCACCTGCAGAACCACAGCTATCTTAAATACTCGGGCTCGCCTTATGCGATGACTATCTCAGTGTTAAAGTTCACGGGGGTCGGGGCCGGAGGGAAGTTATCCTTGTCGGACGCAGGTGGAGTCGTCGGGACCGCATGGGGCACCCACGCGTTGCGCCGGCGGACCACAAGCACGACCAGCGCCAGGACGCATGCCGCGGCGACACACCCGACGATCACAAAGGCCGTCGTGTACATCTGGTTGAAGGATGCTTCCTTCTTGGCCGACACGTCGCTGGCGTGCACGACAGACGCCACCTGGACGACCGCCGTCGTGGTCACAGGCACAACAACAACAGTAGTACGCGGCACAGTTGTTGTGGGGGCTCCAGTCGCGGCATGGAGTCTAGTGGTGGTAGGGGATGCCGTGGTGCGTGGCGCGCTCGTGGTTCGGAACGAATGAGTCGTAGGATGGGGTACCGCCGTCGTCGCCTTGGTTGAATTCAACACTGTCGAATGGACTTGAATGACGTCGGTCGCGTTGCCCGTGGCGTTGGTCTTCTGCTTGGTGGCGTTGATGGGCGTCCACGTGTTGTTGTTCCCCCCAATCACGTGACTCGATGAATTCGTAGTATTCAGCAGCACCACGGGCGAATTCGTGGCATTGTAACCACTGGAATTGGTGGTTGTGTGGTGGCCAGACAGATGGGCAGTCACGCTGGTCGTTGCGTTGATGGAGGTGCCCTTATTCACATGCGACGAGTTGACAACGGTACTCGTGTTGGCGTGTTGAACGTGCGGGCTAGTGGCGTTGGTGGCGTGATGGGGCGCGCCATGCACAGCGGTGCCGTCGGCGGCAGTGGCATTCCCGGAGCTGACGGAGGTCCCGTTCGAGTGGTTGCTGCCTGTAGATTTAGTCGAGTTTGCGTTTAGAATCTGTGAGATGTGCGTGGCGTTGGTTGTGTTGGTTGCATTGCGCACGATCCCCAGTTCGTGATGCGTGATCGGGAACAAGTGATCCCAGTCGACAAAGGCGGTAGGTGGGGCCACAGTCGACTTGGCCTCGTGGCTGGTGGAAGCGGCGGCTTTAGGGGGCGAGGTTGTCTTGAGTGACAGCGCCGCCGTGAAATTCTGGCGAGGGTTGAGGCCGTGGGAAGCCGAAGCTGCAGCGCACAGGCCAACGACTACGACCACTCCACTCAGTCCTCGCATACGGTAGGTTGGTCTGGAAAAGTCAAATGAAAATGGAACCGGCCACCACACGCGGCGAGGTGGCAACGTTCCAGCTGGTTTTAGCAATCGGTACCTCTGGCTACCCGCCCGTACCCATCCATACTAACCGCCCATTCTAGCTAGCACACGCTAAAGAGATTCCTGCAGCATGCTCGGATACTTTGGCCCTAGCATTGTGTTTACTGCACCGTGAGAAACCGGTGGCTAAAGTCATAGAACGCGGAGCCGGTCGTGTATGCCAATGTTAGGTTGGTAAGAGCATGGGCGGGGCGGGATGAACCCTGGGAAAAAAGACTTGACGGCATCCTTGTCATCCTTGTAATCATGAGTGTGATAGTCATTCAAGCCAATCAGGTTCGACAACAGAGATCATGAGGTACTACTGTACGGGCAAACTCTAAACCATCGTCTTGAAACTTGTATTGAATTAAATATAATTGCCTGACATGGAATCGAACGCATACAAATGGTAAGATCAGGATGGCGTACTTAAGGGAACTTGTTGGAATCACAATTTGCTGGGTATAGAAATGGGTAATGGGTACCGGTATAAAAATGGTTATCAAATAAAGCCACCATTGATTGGTGTGAATTAATTTGATATTAATACTATAACTGTATCTTCAGATGGTTATTAACTTTCCTTCAGATATCATTATATTACTGTTCCAAGTGATTCAAACAATATTCTCACCATTAGGTTATATGGGAATGAATATATTTCGAACCCTCCAAACATCCAGCAGAAAGGACGGTTGATCTGGACAAAAACTTGAAAAATTTCAAATGTTGTAGTCTTTTCTGTACCTATCTATCTATCCCTTTGATACCATTTCACTAAGAAGGCCTTACTTAAAAGGGTTTTAATCAAGGACAAATCCTTCCCGAGAAAAATCATTTCTTAAAAAATCAAAGTGATCAAAAACTATAGACACACTACTGACCAGGGTGAACCAGTGAGTGGATTTTTGGATTTTTGTCCAGGAAAAAGCGTATTTCAGCGCCATTTTGATTCAGCATTATAGTGAATTGCTTGACGACAAAATAGATGCATCAAAACCGTTGCATTTGATATTTAAAGTATTCTAAAGTCGAAAACCTTCCTGCAGACGAATTCGACCACACTTTTGCACTCCAAATCGATGTGAAGTATATTTAGAGCACTCTACCTGCCACTAAATGATGTTGTAGAAGGATATCTACAACATTATTCTACAAAACCGCATCAAAACGCAATACTGTGCATTGGTCCGTAGATATGTTCATTCACCGAGATTTTTCAAGACGACTTTTCGATGCAATTTTTTTAAGTTGACACGTTGCGACTTCAATAATGACATATAAGTTAACAACGCATCTAATACACCTTGCGGAATTGAAATTGGTGCAGGAATCATGGAAATCCCTTCCATCGAGTCCAACTTTGGACCTCAAGCAAAAATCGACTTTTCTTGGAAAAGATACACTTGCATTTGAGCCATTGTCAGCCAACTATATACAGCCAATCAAACCTATTGTCAGCCAACTATATACAACCAATCAAAACCATTGCCAGCCAACTATATACAGCCAATCAAACCTCTTGTCCGCCATGTATATACAACCAATCACAACCAAGAACTAGACTCACACTATTAACCCACCAAAGTCCTTGATTCATACACTAAATACTGTATAGCACATACACTATATCTGATTTTTGGACCTTCACAGAGCAGTTTGGCACGTACACTAGTAGACACTCCAATAAGGCTCAAATGCAAGTGTATCTTTTCCAAGAAAAGTCGATTTTTGCTTGAGGTCCAAAGTTGGACTCGATGGAAGGGATTTCCATGATTCCTGCACCAATTTCAATTCCGCAAGGTGTATTAGATGCGTTGTTAACTTATATGTCATTATTGAAGTCGCAACGTGTCAACTTAAAAAAATTGCATCGAAAAGTCGTCTTGAAAAATCTCGGTGAATGAGCATATCTACGGACCAATGCACAGTATTGCGTTTTGATGCGGTTTTGTAGAATAATGTTGTAGATATCCTTCTACAACATCATTTAGTGGCAGGTAGAGTGCTCTAAATATACTTCACATCGATTTGGAGTGCAAAAGTGTGGTCGAATTCGTCTGCAGGAAGGTTTTCGACTTTAGAATACTTTAAATATCAAATGCAACGGTTTTGATGCATCAATTTTGTCGTCAAGCAATTCACTATAATGCTGAATCAAAATGGCGCTGAAATACGCTTTTTCCTGGACAAAAATCCAAAAATCCACTCACTGGTTCACCCTGGTCAGTAGTGTGTCTATAGTTTTTGATCACTTTGATTTTTTAAGAAATGATTTTTCTCGGGAAGGATTTGTCATTGATTAAAACCCTTTTAAGTAAGGCCTTCTTAGTGAAACGGTATCAAAGGGATAGGTACAGAAAGACTACAGTTACTGTACAATATTTGAAATTGTATTTCATCACAAAGTTACAAAACAATTGGGTACGCCCTCAGCTTTTGGCCATAAGTATTGTAGTTCATGAGTCGATTCATGGCTGTCTAACTATTCTACAGTCGTTCGATTCAGCCGAAGGTTGTCGCGCAAGCTGGTGCCTGATGGCCTTAAGCCCTTTGACTGCGGTCGACTGACAACCTTTGTATCGGAAATCACCTTCATCACCACTGGTTTACTCGTCACAGCTTTTGCAACTGCCGCTTCAAAGGATGCTGCACTGCCCACCAGTTCACTCACGAGTCGTAGAGCCACCAGTGCATCGTCGCGGACCTTGGCATCCTTGCCACTTCGAAACTTGACCAACTGGCAGATTAGAGCCGCCGTCGCCTGGTCAACCCGAACATACGTAAATAATGCGCCTAGTCCTTCATAACTCTCTACAGTCGTACCTCTTGGTCAGACAAGACGAGTCCCCGAGATTTCAATTCCTGAAGGCACTGCATCTAAAATGCACATTGTCCGAGTCATTTAACCAGTAACGAGAAACTTGCCATGTCCATCCATACCGTGCCATTGCAGCCTGCGACACATAGTTTGCTGTTTTTGCTGCCGGCAACGCTGGTCAACGCGGTGAGAACTCGCGCAGTTGGCACGTAAGCTGCCAATTTAGCCAGGGCGTGGTCGGCGGCGTCGCGCAGGAATTTTTTTTCGCATGCGGCGCGGTTCAAGATGGATTCCACGACTGTCGACAGGTCCAGGTCGGCCATCTTGTCGGGGGCGAACTCAAAGCACTCTGCCAGGGCCAAGAGCGCGTTCTTGCTCATGGCCGAACGGAGGTTGAGGCTCGCCTCCTGGAGTCGGTGCAGCAAGCCAACGTCCACGACGCCGCATGTCGCTGCTGTGTGATGGATCATGCCTCGTCGAAACGATTCTATGGCCTATGACCACCCACATGAGCAACTCACTAAAGAACAGGGAAGGGGGCTGTACACCGTACTGCACGAGCCAGTCGTGGTTTTGAATGGCTCGACGCAGGGCTGCCAATTCCTCGGCTACGTTTTCAAGCGGAAGGAGCTCAGACGTGGCCAACACGACAACGGCCTTGTCGTCGCTGCCGGGGGCACTGCCATCCAGTCCTAACCGAATCGTTATGACTCGTATGACAATTGGACAGGTCGTACCATCCGACTCGCTGCCCTTATCAATGGAATCGCTGCGTCCGGCGGGGCGGGTGGAACTGAAGTCGTCTTCGACGAGGTCGGGGCGAGGCATCAGTGCTTTTAACGGCCGATTCATGGACATGCTGACTGATCCCAAGTGACCTGCAGCAAAAGGTCCTGTTGAGACGGGGAAAGGCCAATGAATGGGTAAAAATAGAAGGGCGTTGCATTGGCTCGCATTGCATCCAACGACCAATTACGCTTAGCCAAAGGGGGATTAGGGTGATTTGTGCCACTCCCTTGAGCCATGCTCACGCAAGGTGGCGTCGTCCAACGCTCTACTCAATTGCACGGTGGAAATATGGCCACAGTTTCGGTGTCAAAATGTACATCTACAGACTTCACTCACGCCCTTGTCCTGTTGTATATGGTCGCTCTGTCCAGTGGTCATACATTCCAGACTCCCGTGAGAAGGCTTAGAGAAGGTAGGGCCTCATTATTTACGCCTAACGATACAGTACTTACATGTAGGCTGCATGTAAGTTAGGCCTACAGTACAGTGCGCCACTTGGGCTACGCGATGTAGCGCAGTGGAAGACGACAATAGTTATGGCGAAGAGTCCAATGTAGTTCGATTCCTTGTGACTCCACTGGGCAATCAGCGTGATGAAGAAATCAAAGTCGGCTCTGAAGGAGGTGCTGCAATGAGCTACACCGTCCTACATGAGTTTGCTGTGCAAGTTGTACTGCAACCACACGAATGTCATCAAACATTCCAAGCCTATCTCCCCATCGCCCCATCTCAATTCCTAATTCCCATGCTCAACGTATTTCAAGGCTACAGACATACAACAAGGTTGTGTACTATTGGCCTTTACTTCTTTTCGTCGTCAACGTCATCGTAGTCGACAGGCTTCATTGTCTTCAACCGTTCCAGCCACGAGAGAGCCCCCAAGTTGCCTACTTTGCTTTCCGTGGCTTCCTTGAGCTGGGTCGCGAACGCCGCCTCCGCCAGCTGGTCGTCGATGGACTCGGGGGAGATCCACGTCTTACTGTGCTCTGTCAGTTGGCCCAACACCGCCACGCGCTTGGCTTCCACGGACGCTTCGTGCTGTTCACGCACGACCTTCTTCTCCTGGAATCGCTTGGCGACAAACTCGGCGTGTTCGGCCTTCTCGGCTTCCACTTCCTTGGCGCGGATGGCCTGCAATTGGCGCTTAACCTCCAAGCGCGCAGACTTGGCCTTCAACACGCGTTCACGCTCGGCGCTACGCTTCAGTCAGTACTCGACAGCATATAGATTTCTTACGCTTGATCGCGGGCCAGCTTCTCTCGGCGGGCGTTTTCTTGCTGCAAGTACAGCTTGCGCAGGTCGGCGACTTCCGCCTGGTACGCCCGACGCGCCTTCACAAACGAGTACGCAGGTTCGCTGCTAAACTGTGCGCGTTCATGAACACCTCCACTTCAGGACATGTCGTTACCTGGCGGATAATCGATCGAGGAACGCGCTGCATTTTGCTTCCGAGTCGGCAAGTTTACTGGTCCCAGAAGTGCGTAAGGCATCGGCCAATCAAACGCGACCATTCATCAACCAATCGCAAGGGATCTGGAATTATCCGGATAAATGCACTTGATAAAGGATCCGTCATAACCAATGAAAACCGCCCAAGATTGAACAGTCGTTGTTACCACAGCAAGCTATTGAACCAGATATCAAGTTGTAGGTTGTATAAGTAAGGGGAATTAAGCTTGCAGGGTAACTACTTCGCGGCCACTGCCGCGGATAAGCAGGACCGACGAGAGGTTTTCGGTCAGGGCTTCGACATAGTGCATAACTAACCACAGTAACAACGACGCGATTGAGTTCGCTACAGACACATTTGACGTACAATCCTGGGCAGGAATGCCGATGAGGCGTGGCAAGTTCATCACGATCAGCGACGCGTTGGCAGATTGCAACTATATCCACATGTTAGCTTGAACAGGTTGGTTACCGGTTCCAACCTGCACTTGACGGTTGAATTTCTGGGCGTGGAGCATGCGTGGGTCCACGGAAATGTACCCCTTGGGCAGTGGCGGCTTGCTCTTCCGCGGGCTCAGCACGGCCGGGACGTCTTCTTCTTCCACAAATGACCCAACGTCGTTGAGCTCGTCAGTCAGTTGGCTGTACTGCAACGGGTTGCGCACCGAAAACGACAGTGTCGACACCTACTCAAAACCAAGCGTAAAGTGAAACAGCAACTTATTTGGAAGTAGTGAGTAACGTTACTAGTACCTTCATCCGGTCCAGGGCCTCCTTTTTGTGGTTCAGCTCCTCTGCCGATCGCTTGGGCAACAAGCTCGAGATTGTTGAGTCGCTCAATTCGACCACGTGGATTTCCGCCTCGATGCGCGCGTGGGAGAGAAAATCCTTTAGCCGAGTTTGCATCTACAACACATATATTTAATATCTTCCGATGTAGCAACTTGCTTAGGCACGAAATATACCTCGCCAGCATCTTCTTGGCTCGATACGATGGCAAACAATCGCAACGTGCATTTTCGCCACACCCGGTGCAGTCGCAACAGATACGGAATCTACATCACTTCATAAGTCCCTGTAAATGATATAGATATATATATATATTATACCAGCAACAACAGGCCACCGTCGTGCAGCACCCACCACACGTCAATGTGCCCTTTCTTCTTGACATCGTTGAACGGAAATGTCTCCATGTTCTTGAGCACCACCAGTGCCTTCTTGCAGTTGATCATGTCGTGCAGCATGTCCACATACGGCGTCGCGTCCCCCGACTCCCACGTGTTGGGCCACCCCACCACTACCGTGTTGCTTCGGAGGGGGCCCATGCCCGATGCTTCCGCCACCGTGCCCATGCTCTGCAGCGCATCTTTGCACGCGTAGACATGACCAAAACCCGACAGGTGCGCTGACGCCAAGTGCTGGCGCAGAACCAGCGTGGCTGCCTGACACGTGTCGTATGTGTTGTCGTCGTTGCCGTGCACGAGCCCCACTACTTCCACGAGCCCCTACACTCGAGCTCAGTACCCTCAGCAATTTGGGGGAGGGAGGGAGGTTGGACATTACGTACGTGGCCCTCCTTGAGCTGACTGGCAAAGTGGAGGATCTGGGGCGACACTGGCAGCCCCGTCGAGTCCATTTTCGAAAACACGAGCACTTGGGGCCGCCAGTTCTTGGTGTGTTCTTCTTCCGTCGTCGTGTTGAGCATTTTCAACAACGTGCATGCCTACGTCAAGTTGTGATATATGTTTGTCGAACAAATAGAAAATATATTTTATTTATTTCCAAATTATGAAAAATGAATTATGCCCTGCCTCATACTGTATAATAAGTCGTGTATCCATTCATACCAGTTCCAGCTGCATGCCACGGACAGAATCGCCCCAGTCTTGTGCGACGCCCACGTACTTGACGTACACTCGCACAGCGATGCAAATGGCAATCGCGAGCAACCCTTTGACCCACGAGAAGAACATCATCAGCCCAAAGCACCACAACGCCCCAAGCAACGCCGTGGACCAGTGAAAGTATCGCCTACATAAAATATATATATATATATTGGTGTATAGACTATATATATATAATATACTATATTCACAAAAGAATAGCAATACCATTGCGGGCGAAAGCCAGGGGTGTGGGCACACGACGCGGCCAAACACGCCAGGTTGAGTGTGAGACACAACATCAAGTTGACCATGGTGAGGAATGGCGACAGGTAATCCAAGTTGCCTAGCCACGTGATGAGCAATGCCTGTCGAGTTTCTAGCAACGCACCTGCAAAGCACGGGATGCACGTCAAGAACATGCACAGGACGATGGCGCGGCGAGGCTCTTGGCCATCCTGGATGACAAACGGCCGAAGGAACGGCACGACGTTGTCGTTGGCCATCGCGGCGAGCATGCGCGGCTGGCTGATCAGATTCTGCAGGGCGCCGCCGATCGCGCTGAAGAAGATGCCGACGTTCACAATCTGTTTGTGCGGCAATGCGAGTGTGGACATGATGAGTTTGTCCGACTTGAGTGTCTATTGGGGGTGCAAAGTCAATACATATAACTGCACAGCCACCTCGACTACTTACTTGGTTGGACACGACCGAGCCAAACACAACCACCACCATCAAGTTGATCGCCAACACCGTGAGCATCGCAGCTACAAGGTGCCATATATATATATATTATATATATATATAGATGACGTGGTTGGTGTATTCGGAGATGTATTAATATTTTTTATATATTTTTTATGAATTATATAATATATATATATATATATCCGTACCGATTGTGCCAAGAGGCACGGATCTCGCCGGGTTTTCCAATTGGCTGGCCCTACATATCTCATGACGTCGAACACACGCCAACTTGGTTGCTTTCGCAGGCGAGTTCGTACCGCATGGCTCCGGACATGTACCCCGTTGTGCCGGGGTAGATCAACGAGATCATCATGGCCAAGTTGGGCAGGACATTGGTCTTCGGGTCCACGGTGAAGTTGGTTTGCATGTTATCAAACCAAACGACATCCCCTGGTTGGCTACACAATGCACGATGTGAAACACCACACAGTATGTACACGTTGTGATATTTTGAAAGATATCACCTAACAACGACAACGAAACAGCATAAAGATGAGAAAATCCGGTTCGTACATGGTTTGGCTGGCGTGCACAACCAGCCCCACGACCGCCGCGGCAATTGAGCCCAACACAATCGCGAGGCAGGCGGTGCCGGCCATGTTGATGTACTTCATGCCTAAGTTACGAATGAATGCAATAACGAAAGGGTGAGCTTTGCCATGGGTCAGTACCGACGGACGAGATGCCACAGAGGACCACGAGTAGCACGAGCGCAAACACCCGCGAGTCGGTCACAGGCCACAAGGACGTGTCGAAAATATTTTTGAAAATTTCCGTCGCGCCCAACACACTGAATGCCAAGCTGCATGTGGAGCCGGCAAACACGAGGAGACCGATGGCTGACCCAGTTTCTGCATTGTGGACACGAGAACATCAGATCTATACATGGACAGGGGAGGGAGGGGGTGTACCAACGCCAAGGGTGTGCGAAATCAAAAAGTATACTCCGCCCGCCGAGACCTTGCCTGCAAGAACAAAGGCATGTGGAGCCAAGTGTGGCTGTAGCATGTACTAGTTGGCAAGTGAGTGTACCGTTGGTCACCAAGGCGCAGATGGACGACGTGGTCAAATACGCCACGGATTGGCACATGAAGAAGAGGACGCATGTGAGCACGACGCCGCCCTGGGACGTCACCCACGGCATGCGAAGGAACAACGTGACGCCCAAGATGGACTGCAAGCACGGGAAATACACCCCTCCAAGGGTGCCCAGCTTTGGACCTGTCAAGATACAGCACTAGAGTTAGTACATTCTTGGGTGGATTTTGTGCTTTGGCTTCGTAGTACTCTGAAGGAGCTGCTTGTCGCTAGCGTTGTCGCCACCGCTGGTTGCTTTGGCGATGGTTACCGCATACGATTCGCGAGAGATCTCGTCCTACCAGAGATTTCGTGTTTGAGAGGTATGGTTGTTTCAATGGTACATGTATGGGGTTCGTACGAAAAGGCCACCTCCGCCGCCACCGCTGACCACCTCAGCCTGGTCGTGTCCGTCCTGCGCTTTTCGGAGCATTATGATTCGCAAAATGCCAACTTGTTCACCACCACCAGCGATCTTCTGTCAAGAACCACCAGGCCATGCAACGAAAACGAAACGGTTCTGTAACGACGTTTTAGAGAAGGATCGGGGGGTTTCACATTTGAGCCAATTAGACGGCCGAAATCTCGAACCAGGATGTAACGATTCTCCTCCAAAATGGGATTTCCGACGTTGAACCAAGGTTAATGTGTTATAGGGATGTCAACACCAGCATGACGGACACAAAAGGATGCGGCGGCATACTGTATCGCCATCTAGGCACAAGAATGAACCCTAAACGGCATAAGAATTACATCAAGCTAAGCTGACTTCATTTGAAACAGCCCCAGTCGGTCAGTCGGTCCGAGGCAGTTGGGTATCTAGGACGTGTATTCGAGAATCAGGAGGTTCATAGTGTAACATCCTTCACCAAGCAATCATTCAATTGGTATATATACTATTATACTTCGTAGTATTTAATAGTAAGTTACTGTTAGTTACAAATTTCCAGACGCGGTCGAATCGAATCGCCGAATCGACGCTATTGGCTAATCCAATTTTGAGTGGTTTTGATTGGCTCTTACAGAACGGACAAGTATAAATTCAACCAATCAGAACTCCAGCGTGATTCCATATTGAATCGACAACATGTTGGATGTTTGTTTATACTAGCGATAATTCACAATATATGCATTGATGATATATTATTCAGATATGCGACAGTCCGCGTGGAAACCGCTCACAACAACAACGCGCGAGCTTGTTTGTATGGCAAGACCAAGTGCTTGATGTAATTTTTCACTTCGATGCACCGAATGTCGTCGTCCAGCACGTCTGCGTCAATGCCAAGTCGCCATGCAATATCTTTGCGATGGGGATTGGCGTAAAGTAGCTCCAGCTCTGCCACGTACCTACATCACACCACCAATGTATGTTTATGCATTCAAAAGACCTATGAAACGTACCGATCCGCAGCGTCCATGTCGCGGAACAGCCCGTAGTTGACCAATCGCCCCCGCCGCGCATGGGTCAGCCGTGCCATTTCGTGCAAATTGTATTCGGGATGGTACTGCAACCCCCAAAACTCGCCCTGATATGTGGCTTAGTTTCTCCAGAACGATGCCAGCAACAGTAATATATATATATATATATTACTCCAATTTCGAGTCGACAATATATATATATATATTGTCGACTCGAAATTGGAGTGGATTATATCGAATGACCAGAATCGCCAAATCGGCAGAAATACAATCGATAAATTGACCAATCAAAACAACCACAACACGAATCAAGCGGCCAATCAAATCCGCTCTTCGACCAAATGCAACACCGAAATAGTGTGTGACTGAAATTAGTGTAATACTGGACGATCATTACATACAAAAGTCAGGACAAAGAATTGATAGATTTGGCGAAAAATCAGCAAAAAGTCACCAAATTTTCGGTAAAAGAAAGACAATACCTTTAAATACCGGACGGCCACAGCTTGCATAAGCGAAAACGCATTGCGACCCAACTTGATGGCCCCTGGTGGCAAGTGCGTAATTTCGTCGTAGTGACTCGTAAACGCGTCAAATTCACTTGACTTTCCTTCGTACAGTGGATGGCCTCGGCCTTCCGGCGTGAGCTGGATCTATATATATATATTTATAGTTAGACTTATAAATGAACAATTCAACAGCATAGGACTTGACTGGAAAGTGGCGGGAGGACATACCTTTCGAGCAAGACCCATTTCCCGCCCGTTTGGATTCTTGGCCACTTTGCCACCGGCAGCAAACACGGCGACTTGCGATGCCCAGCAACTTCCAAATTGAGGTATGCCTAAGATGATTCAATGACCATATGAAGCCATAAGACTACGAAAGGCTACCAAATGCGTAGAGTTGACGCGCCAGCTTTAAATGCCGTTGAACATGAGGATCTTCGGTTTGATGGACAGTAAGCCTAACCAGGTAGCCTTACGAATGAGCCGCTCAATGGGAAGGAATGACAGTACCTGCAACCTGTCCACGCGACGCCGTCGAATTGACTCAAGTCGGGCAGCTCGAAGGGGCCATCGGTGGGGTAGATCACGTGGTGGGTCGTGGGTATGCTGCCAGCGGAAGAAGCGAGCATCGTCGCGTACAAGTCAGAGGCGATCCTCGCCCCATTGTCTACTAGTTCCTTGCGACCTTCCTCGGAATACCCCTCCACGATGAGAAAGCGGAGGGGTGCATGTGATGTCGAGAGCCGTCGGAGCCAGGATGTTGCCGCGATGTCTGCGCGAGCCAGGCGTTGGAAGTGCAGCATGGGTTGCGAAATCACTGAACTCCTCCACAAGTTTTGTTTTAAGATCACAAACATCCAATCAGAGTGGAGGGTTGACAGAGAAAAGCATTTGATTCGCTTGAAAGGAACGAATCAAACCGCTCATATCCTAAATACCGTAGTACGTCGAAGTAGTACATTTGTCATGAATATTACTGTACTGTACTATGTAAGGGGTACTACTAATAGTACTAGCGGTAGTATTCCGTTAAAATAAATACTATTAATAACGTTATTAATCGTACTACTAACTTACTACTGCAGGACACGTCCTAACTTATCGTTCTACTACGTAGTAGTAAGCCATTCACTGCAAGTGTACTATGTAATACAACTATTATTAATAGTATTACGATAGTACACTTGCTATATTTGGTACTATTAATATTAACACGAATTCTTTGAATACGGTAAACCTATATAAATTGGTACTGTAAGTGCAATACTAGTAAATCGAAGTCATCCATTAATACTAAATTTTGTATGTCCGGAGCGAAAACAAACTGAAGTGTCGCAGGTCTGTTTATACGGATTCGGATACGGCACATCGATGTCGACTCGAATTGAACGTTAGTACCATTGGGAACCTTCCCCTTCTCCAGGGATATTCCCTAGCGGTAGGAATTTACCCATCATACGAACCAACAAAACTGCGAAACTTGAAGTGGGAAAATTCCGACAGTGGCCCAATTCTTGTGGGCGTTGGACGATGTCAACAGTCAAAGAGGCGCGCAATGCAGTTTCTCAGTGCCACATCGCGACGCTTGTCCACCAGTCATCTAGACATGGCGTCTACCGCCTTCGAATGATTTCATTACGTGACATTATAGAGTGCCATTAAAGCGTAGCCATTGTCCTGGGATATGACCAGCACGATGACACAGCTTCGCGTCCGCTGGGGCTTGTGGTGGATCGAGCAAAGGGCACAGTGGCATGTTGAATCGAAGTAGCCGAGACGAACAGGATACAGTTTACAAGAGATTTCAAATCGAAGTTGGTCGTCGAAGTTGGTCGAAGATGGAGTTGTTTTGATTTCCATGGATGGAGCATCCGCCACTCCAACTTTTTGTCACTTTTGAATACTAGTACGTATTTGATTGACCATGCTTCGCCACCTGCAGCGCGTCGCCACCACCGTGTGTGGCCCTACGATCTCCAAGCGCTCCATCACGAGCCGTGGCTTCAAGAACGCCGAAGGGCATCTGTTCTCCATGACCAAGGCACGCATCATACCTTCCAACTTTTGCCCCGCATCCCATTGATTCTCATCAGGACACACACATAGATTGTGGGCACCATCGGTCCCGTTTCCGAAGATGCCAAGACCACCCAGGAGCTCGTCGACGCCGGGCTTAAGATTGCCCGCATCAACTTTTCCCACGCCACGTACGAAGAAGCCGAGCTCCGTACGGTCAACTTCATGTCCTTCGACAGCTTCCCGACTTATGACAACTACTTTCTAGGCACGGTGAACCTGCGCGCGGCTCGCGGTGTGCACGGCGCTCACGGCAGCGATTTCAACCTCCGCTCCGTCTTGCTGGACACCCAAGGCCCCGAAATCCGCGGCGGCAGCTTCGCCGACGGCAACAAAGTGACTTTGACCAAGGGCGACGCCATTACGATCACCACGGACGAGCGTTTCAAAAAGGTATTGAATATTTGATATCCGCCACCGATTATTGCATCTCGTAAGCGATATGGGATTTTGCACCACCACCAACATTCCCCATTTTGTATATCTCGTAACCGATATGGATCATGTTTGTACGAATGTAGAACAGCACCAAAGAATTGCTGTACGTAACGTACGCCAAGTTGGCCGAGACTGTGTCGACGGGAAGCACGATCTTGCTGGACGATGGGTTGATTTCGCTCACGGTGGAATCCATCGAGAACGGCCAGGTACAGTACATCCATATCCGCAACGACATGTAGCCAACGGACTCATATCACTACTCGTTTGCGATATGAAGGTGCACTGCCGCGTGGAAAACACCGAAGTGCTGGGCAACCGCAAGGGCGTAAACCTTCCGGGGCTGGTCGTGGACTTGCCCGCGTTGACTGAGAAGGACAAGCAAGACGTTGAGTTTGGCATCAAGCACGACATGGACTTCATCGCGGTGTCATTCGTGCGATCGGCGGCCGACATTGAAGCGGTCCAGTCGTTTGTGAAGGCGACGATGGCCAAGTACTGGCCCGCCGACCACCCGTCCCCCAAGCTGATTGCCAAGATCGAAAACCACCAAGTACGAATCAAGCTTGTTGTATGATATATATCTATCCGATGATAGACTGACGATTGTACACACGTGTATGTCGTTAGGGCGTGACCAACTTTGACGAAATTCTGGCCGTCGCCGACGGCATCATGGTGGCCCGAGGTGATTTGGGCGTCGAAATTCCCCTCGCCCAAGTGTTTACGTGCCAGAAGATGATGGTGTCCAAGTCCAACGCGGTCGGCAAACCCGTCATCGTGGCCACGCAAATGCTCGACAGCATGATCCGCAACCCCCGCCCCACCCGCTCCGAGGTCGTCCTTACCTCCATTTCAAGTCCATTTCGGAATGCATGTCCTTCAACCTGCTGAATGTTGGTTCTGGCGACGCGAGTTTTGACTCGGAATGCATGTCCGGCAAGGTTTTGGGTTTTTTTGGTGATTTTTGGTGATTTTGTCGCGGTTTTTTGGAAATTTTGCGACGCGAGTTTTGACTTGGAAACTGCGGAATGCATGTCCTGCACCCTTGATTTTGGGTTTTTTTGGTGCTTTTGTCGCATTTTTTTTGGAAATTTCTTACTGAATAAATGACCTGATTTGTTTCAAGTAGATTTTGGACGTGGGCAATGCCGTGGTGGACGGCGCGGACTGTGTCATGTTGAGTGGCGAAGTCGCGCAGGGCAAGTACCCGGTCGAGTCGGTGTCGACGATGCTGTCGATCATCAAGGAAGGCGAGTCGTTCGTGGCGCGGTTCCCCATCTCCCCGTCCATCGTGACCGGCCGCGACTCGCTCGCCAGCGCCGCCGTCAACGTCGCGTACGAACTCAAGGCCAAGCTCATCGTGGCGCTCACGAAGGACGGCAACCTCGCGCGCGACGTGGCCAAGTTCAAGCCCAGTGTGCCCGTGATGAGTTATACTCCTAGCCGCAAGGTCGGGCGCCAACTGCAGTTGCATCGCGGTAGGTTTATCCATGCTATCATCTCATTGGGGTGGACTGACGTGGAGTTGGTTTGGATGTATTTGTACTGACTGTGTAATAGGTTTGTACCCGGTGGTGTCTGAATCCATGACGCTCGAAGAAGCGATGGACGACGCTGTCAAGATGGGCTGGACCAAGAAGGGCGACAAGGTCGTGGTGCTGTCCAACGATGACGAAGACACGCCCCAGCAGTTCACCATGCGGATAGAGACGGTCGCGTAGAGACAGACGACATGACTCGAACCATCATCATCGTGTGCATACAGCAGCCAACAACAGGCGGTTCAGTTCAGCTCTGGACTCGTTAGTACTAGTACTACAGTATAATAGTACCTGTTGGTGGGACGAATAAAGTACTAGTAATACTAGCGACACTACTGTATTATGGTGCACGGGATTCCTATGAACACAAAGTTACTACACTGTACTACGTAGTACTATAGATATATATACTGTATACTGTATCCGCGCACACAAACGTGCGACGTAGTTTACAGTCGAGCTGACATCAATCACTAGCCCCCCCCCCC